TCATTTAAACTTTTTATCAGTGGCTTTATCAGTGACTGGCCCAGCATTGCAAGCATCTAAGACCAGTGATTCTCAAAGCATGGTCTTAGAGACTGTGGAAGGTCCTAAGACACTTTCTGGGAATCTGGAAAGTCAAAACTATTTTCAAAATAATACTCAGATGATAGTTGCCTTTTTAAATCTTGTCCTCTCACAAAATGTAAAAAAAAAATTATTGATAAGATTGCAAATTCTACATTATAACTAACATGAGAATTCCCATCCACTGTTTATTTTTGGTATAAATCAAAGAATATGCACAATTGTCTGAAAAGGCTATAAAATGTATAAAATAGTCTTCCCTTTTCCAAATACTTACCTGTGTAGGGCCAGATTTTCTTCATATGCTTTAATCAAAACAACATATTTCAACAGGTTGAATACAGAAATGGATATGAGAATCTAACCACATTCTATTATGAGATTTACAAACTTGTCAACCAATGCAACTCTTTTCATTAAATTTTTTTGTTTGGGAAAATAACAGTTTTTTAATAAAAATATATTATTTAGGTTTTATTGGTAATGGATTTATTGTTATTTTAAGGTAAATTAAGTATTTTTTAAAGTTTCTCAGTTTTAGTTTTTATTTTTTTAATTTTTTTAAGATTTTATTTATTTATTCATGATAGACACAGAGAGAGAGAGAGAGAGGCAGAGACACAGGCAGAGGGAGAAGCAGGCTCCATGCAGGGAGCCTGATGTAGGACTCGATCCTGGAACTCCAGCATCACACCCTGGGCCAAAGGCAGGCACTAAACTGCTGAGCCACCCAGGGATTCCCAGTTTTAGTTTTTAATATAGTAAATATTTATAGATACAACCGATGGAAACAATGCTTTTTGGGTTCTCTATAGTTGTTACAAGTGTAAGTTTGAGAACTGCTGAACAAACATTTTAATAATTTTTATGACAATGAAGGTGATGCCAAAGAGTATTGTTTTATCTTAGTATATGCAAAACTCTTTTTTTTACCATATCCTAATTCTGATCCATTTCACAAACAGCTCATGAGCTGGTGTTATTGACATCCAGTTCAATGCTGCTTCTGTACTTCTGGTGCAACATCAGATAGGTCAAGGCCAACGGCACAGTTTAATATTACAGGGTCACAGAGCCAACTCTGGTCTAACTAATGATTGAATGTTGATTTGGATTATTTGGATGGATATAACATCAATGAATACAATGTGTTTTCATTTTAATTCAGGCTGTAAAGGAATTTGGAAGTTTTAAAAAAAATTATTTATTTATTAATGAGAGATACTGAGAGAGAGAGAGAGAGGCAGAGACACAGGCAGAGGGAGAAGCAGGCTCCATGCAGGAAGCCCAATGTGGGACTCGATCCCAGGCCTCTAGGATCACGCCCTAGGCCGAAGGCAGGCACTGAACTGCTGAGCCATCCAGGGATCCCCAGGAATTTGAAAGTTTAAGTGTGCTTTGTTTCTGATCTCAAAGGATGTGTATTATTTTTGGGAACTGCTATCTGGGAGATCTGTCTCAAGGATCTAGTGTAGCAATGCCATAGCTAACCTGTGGATTCCATAGCTACTTGCTAAAATACATGTTGAAGACCATGAAGATTTGATTAAAAGTCCCAATTTCCTACAGAGTCTGTCATGTCTTTGAGTTGTCAAATCAAAAACGAGAAAATGGAGAGATGGCAGTGTGCTTGGAGGCATAGTTAGAATGTGATTTCAGAGACAACACTCTTGAGTGTGGTTCTCTACCCTTCCCCAGTTTACAAAGGGAAGTGACCCCCAGTTCTTATCTTTTAACAGAGGAGAGTGGAATTAGGGAACTACTATCTCATGAACATTTGGGATAGGGTCAATTGTACACAGAAATATGCTCTTTTCTCCCAGGCTGATGAGGAGCTAGATAAAGCTACAGGTCCCACTCACCATTCTTTGAATTCCCACAAGTTCTCCAGATGAGAAAACCCATTTTATAAAAGTTGAAAGGTGCAGATGGAAAGCAGGCATCGTATCTGTTTTCTATGACCCTTTAAAAAGTCCCTACAAGCTTAGTGGCTTAAACAATACAAGTATATTACCTTACAGTAATGATTCTGTAGTTCAGAAGTCTGAGAGGGCTAAAATCAAGGTGTAGGCAGGGTTGCACTCCTTTCTAGAGGCTCTAGGGGAGAATCGTTTCTTTACCCTTTCAGCTTCTAGAAGCTGCCCACAAAGGCGTGAGTGAGAACACTTGGCTCCCTTTTTCCATCTTTAAAGCCAGCAACAAGCAGCTCTCTGAGCCTTTCTTTTATGGACACACCTTCTCTAACTCTCTCCTCCTCTGCCTCCCTTGTCATTACACTGCTTCTACCCAAATAATCCAGGATAATCCCCTTATTTTAAGGTCAGATGATTAGCAACCTTAATTCCACCTGCAACTTTATTTTCCCTTGGCTGTGTAACCAAAAGTATTCACTGGTTGCAGGGATGAGGACATGGACATTTTTGGCGGGCCATTATTCTGCATGCTGCAACAATTGGAAATAAAAGTGAGAAAACAGGCAAAGACTTTTTGTCCCTTCTGGAGTTCTCTGCTCACCGTTGGAAAGTCTTGCCTTCTCTCTTTTTATAAGCAACCACATTTATGCAAGAGCTAAATATGTCCTATCCAAACTATATAGTAATTTGTAGGTTTATGTGTTCTTGGACAAGAGACAGGAACTTACCCTGATTTTCCTTATCTATAGCATGACAGTGTTGAAGTAGATGGTGTCTCAGAGCTCCCCGGGTGTTTCTATTTGAACTTTGAAGTACCTGTGTCTCTGCAGATTATATTTTTAAGTGTGATGGTTCATTGCCAACAAGCAGGTCTGCTGAGTTCCCCAAGGCTACAACATCCTTGCCAAAAGCTTAGTGGTTGAGTCACTATTGTATTTAATATATGCAGTGCTAGCATTGATGAGCATCTTTTCACCTGGGTGTCAAACATGTTTTTGTGGGTGTACAAAACATAATAAATATGACTTTAAAAAAACTGACTCCCAACTTTTGCTCCATTGACGGCAATGTTCATTGCATTGTATCTTGTCCATGTAGAATGGTCTGTTGCTTGTCACAGGATTTGTTGCTGTTATGAGCTTTGGAAGCACATATACCCCTATAGCATTAAAATACCTTATGTTTGTACTGCACTTTACAGTTTACAAAAATGTCTTCATATCTGTTACTTCATGTGATCCTCTATAACATTGTTCTGGGATTGCTAACATTCAGTTCTTTAAAATGGGTGTATTTGTAGGGTTAACCCAGTAGCCAGTTCTGCCATAATTCTGCATAGACATTTTATATGCATCCTTGATCAGTGGTAACAGGGGTACCAAGTAATTTGTTGGAAAACTGACCTCCAGCATTTGATTGAAACACAGACTTATTCACATGCGGCAACAAAGTGATCAGACATCTTTTATATTTTAAATTGGGCATCATCTTAATGAGACATCTCATATTGCCTTTTATCTTTACTTTTGAAAGGAAATCCATTCGTGGAATGCTCTCCGGCATTTTTCTTAATCATACTTTATTCTGTAGGCATTTTTTCCTGCCTTCTTATAGTTTGCATATAGAAGTTATTCACAAGACATCTTCCTAAACATTTATCTGAATATAGATAAAATTATACATATGCAGAATCCTAAGTTACAGTACTGCAATCACACATCAAGATGGCATTGTTTAAAGCTGTCTATATTAACTTTCATATGTGGAATGGTTCCCCAAAGTATTTCAGAAATTAATAATTTTTCAAAAATAACTCGAACAAGCTATTTGTCCTTCTGCCTCTGTAGTTCTTAAGTTCATCCGCATAAAGCAAAAGGGAGACTTTAAGAATTGTAAGCTCATTTAATTTCCAGACGATGTCTAGTGTTTAAACACTGACATCAAAGCAAAGAGCCAATTATCAGAGTGCATTTGATCTGAAGCCCTGTTGCCTGAATTGCTATAGTTTTCCTTATGCTGAAAAGGAAATCTGTGTCACATCTCAAAGATGTAATATTTAAAATCACTTTATCTATAGCAGTTTAACTTGAAACATGTGTTTGGGCTCACTAACCACAAGGAGGCATTGAAGCATCTCTTCAAAATGTGAAAAGCAATTTTACTTAAAAAAAAAAAGTTGCACCAACAGTTGCTGAATTTCATAAGCAATTACATCTGCTTGTGAGTATGTGTGCCTTTTAAGTTCATGTTTTGATCCACTTATTTTTTTAACCCCTGAAATACCAGCAAGAAGAGCTGCTGCTATTGTTTCTTTTGTAAAAGAGTTTTGGACAATAATAATCACGCGTGTTTTCCTTCTGCTCTGTTTCCAGTGGACATGAAGGCAAACTGCAGGACTTCTATTAGTACCTACAAAGTAACTGCGTTAACCTGTATTGCCCTCTAAAGGTTAAAAATTTCTTTTGACTACATGAACAGAAGAGTATTCCTTTAGTATTCAGTACTACTTAAATATATATTCCTGACAGCAAGGGGTTTCTCTGAAAACTCTGTGTCAGTTTAGAATGATTTTGGGGACACATCTTCAAAATGCCACATGAAAAGCATAAGTTGAAAGAGCCAACACAGTTCTTCAGTTTTGTTTTTTGTTTTTGTTTTTGTTTTTTTACCCTGAGCATAATTTTCTTCAATGTTGTTTTGAACATCATATTCAATGTCAGAAATCTCCCCTATGTTTTTATAGTCTTGATTCCCAGTGGTTTTGCTGGTATCGAAAAAGATGAACTCTTCTTTTGCAGAATATGCTGCTTAGCAAATCTTCCAGAATAATGCTTAAATCCCCCGAGAAGCAAGGAGCTCATTCTTAGGAGTTAGATTGTGTCTGCAAGATGCTTCAGAGAAAATTCTTTCCAAGAAATGTGGACTGTGACACCTGGAAATCTTAGTGTGTCATTTTGCCATACTGACCTTCTCTTTCTGTGTTTTGACACCTTGTTTGCTGTTTAGGATATTCTCTTCCTGTGCGAAAAAATATTGACGACTTCAACATACAGCAGAACATGCAGCTGGGGAGGCTGTGTGACATCTTAGGTACAGTAAATACTTTCACACAAATGACTCTTTAGAATGTTTGTCAGAGGATGTTGATAAAAAATGTTTAACTTTTGCTTATTGTTCCCCCCCCCCGCAAGGAAAAATTGTGGATTTCTAATCTATTGGCAGGGCAATTAAATGTTTTGTTTTTAAAGAACAGATTTATAGAGGAGTTGCCATGAATTTAAAAATGACATTTTTAAAAACTAATATATTTGGATGACTTTTTCTAAATTCTAAGAATTTCTCTCCTGTGGCCCCAAATACTCTTAATTTCCTGAATCTGGCAGTGACCGAAGCCAACATTTTATATCTGTGTTTATATCATCTATTATGTTTTCTGGGTAATAAGTGGAAAGCGGTATCAGAAATGAAAAGCATTGTTTTCATTATAAGACTAAGAGGGATGTGAAGATAGATTTTTTTAAAGAAGGTTTTATTTAAATATATATTATGTAGTTATTAGAAATCAGGAGTTGCCTCCTGGAGAGAGTTCTTAGAAAATAGACCTCTAGCACTAGATACATCCTTGCAAAGGTCAGGCTCTGAAACTGTCTTGGTCAGTTCTAAATCGGACACCAACCTGGGCCAGGAGAGAAGAACACAATAATGCACCAGCTCCAGTTGGTGCTTTCAAGGCTAAGGTTCAGGTTAGGCTTAATGCAAGGTCACAAAGGCTAAGCACTAACACCGGATCAGTTTAAAAGGTACTAGCCAAAAATTCAGGGTAAACAAAGAGTAGGTTTTTATTAGTTACCAAATAAGAACTTCTTTTGTTCTGCTAAAATATAATTGCTTTGGCCTTTATTTAAGCAAAGCAAGGAAAATTTTTAAATTATCAATGACCAACTCAGCTGGCTCCCCGGAATGACATACTTTACATGATTCATATATATTTCAGCATCATTATTATTTTATAAATGCCATTTGGTAACAGAAATACATCAGTACTAGAAATTTACAGTGTCCTAAAATAATAATAGTGTAATTGCTTTAATCTATTATGTAGGCACTATTATTGTTTTTCAGCATTACAAAAAAATTTTTGTTTTAATGACTTGAGATTGATTTGTTAGTGCTGAGCTATTTCAACTAAAAACCTGACTGGGTGGAAACCACTGAAGTGCAGCAGAGGGCAGACTTTGCTCTAATTTATTTGAATTAATTTTTTTCTTTAGCTTTTTATATACCCTTCTATATATAGCACAAACCATCGCCAAAGAATTTCCTTACAAAAGAGTCTCATTATTAGAAAACACTTGAAAGTATAAGGCTTCTATTTTAAATAATTCAGTCTATGTCTACCTGCAATGGAAAATTTTGCTAATATGAACGTTTCTGACAGACTATGAAGCAAATACCTTTTTTTTTGGTACACTGTCTTCATCATATAGCAATCCGAGCCTAAAGCCTCTTCAAGAAGAGTAATGGAAGTTTAGAAACAGTAGCTAGAAGGTAGAAAAAGTGCTTGCTTGTGAAATTTAAAAAAAAAAATGAAGAAACTAGGAAAATTAGTAATTTTATGTAAGAATAAATGATTATCTTTTTTTTATATTCCATTAATTCCTAGTAAAGTGAGTTGACTTTTTGCCTATTTGGGGGAAACAAAGAGAATCTGGTCAGGTGGGTAAGACCATCCTTTGGATATTGGCAGTGATGTCAGCGTGCCAGGTGGAGACCCCCCAATGGCCAGTTCCTGGGGGAGTTAAGCAAGAAAGTGACCATTATTGACTATTGACTAGTGATCAAAGCAATCTTTGTGTTCATATTAGTTTCTTTCCAAAATTACCTGTCAATTAATTTTGAACATTTGCAGATTCACAACTATTGGATATTCATGTAAGTGATTTGTATTCTTTTGCCAGAAATGCACAAGGAGGATGAGATTAGCAATTTGATTTGCTGTCATTTTTTGTAACCTAGAAAGTGCTTCCCAAGAAAAATTTTGTTTTCTCCAGCGTGGAATCTTTATTTTTTGTTTCTTATGTCTCTTTTTAATAGTAAAAAAAAAAAATCCTACCTTGGTTTTTAAAACCAAATAAAGAACATATCCAAAAGCCACACTGAAGTTAATTTAGATTGGTTTTGTACAGATATTTGCAATTGAACTGGCTTTTTTGCACTTTAACATTTCTCTAAAGAAAAGATAAATAACACTACCACTAAAAAAATAGACACAATGATTCTTTCAGAAGGAGGGCTGTGAAGTTCCATTAGTTTTGAAGACACCAATCTCCTCTTGAAAACACAGGTCTGGGATAAGTAATTTGGTCATTCAGCAACTGAATATTTCTGTCTCCTCAGTTAATTTATTTTGAGGTTTATGTGGCAATTTGGTTTCAAAATTAAATAGGGGCCACTTAGATATTTACATTTGTCAAATGCCTACTCTTGGTTCAGTACTGGGCCAGCTCAGAGGACACTGCTTCTCCGGTGGGAGGAGGATTTCTCCCACAAGCCATTGATCTCACTGATTGTATAAGATTTTCTACTTCCCAAATCTCTCCATCCTACCAAATCCCTTTGGTCAACCCACAGGTATTTATTGAGTGGCTCCTGCATACTCCATACTGTACCAGCTTTTGGAGGAATATAGGAAAGAGTATACACCTTGCCTTTAAAGAGTTTGGAGAGACAAGATTAATAGATTTGAAACAATAAGAAGAAATGACAGTATAATCTATCATGTTAAATCTTGGAGGCGCTGGAAAAAGGAGCACAAATGTGGAGGGAAGGGTGGAATCACTGTTGGCTCACCTAGTCAGGGCTGGCCATGTGGCAGACTTGTGTATCTGTACTGTTTATGGAGTACTTACTATGTGCCAGATACTGCACTAGGTGTTTACAGATATTCTTTCATTTAATACTCTTCAAAACTCTATGTCCCCAGTGATTTTCTTCTCCATTTTAAAGATGAAGAACTAATGCTTAGAAAGGTTAAATACTGTGCCCAGCATTCCGAGGCAGCTGAGCTGGAATTTAATCAGTCTGTGTTCTGTATACTCTTGTCAAACTGAACAAAGGAGTCTTAAAATCCCCTCTCAGCCCTACCTGACCAAGGAAACATTTTATAGCCCTCCCTCCCCTGAACATCCCTAACCACCTGTTCTGCGTGCTTCATTGTGTCCCCTAGTCTCCACCATGTTTGTTTAGTGGCTATTTGTGCATGTGAAATGGTCACTCCTTATGGGCAGCATCTCAGCTGCTTTGATTCCTTATTTCCCTCCATGTCTAGCCAAGTGCTTTGCCCCTACTGATAAGCCAGTTATTTTATGAATGAATGAATCACTCCATTGGCTGCTGATTTCCTGTCCCAACTCCTTAAAATATTAAAACCCTGCAGCCAGGCATGGGTAATCTCATCTCACTATCCCATTTGGGTGGGATATTTAATTAGGATTTTTCTATGTACATAATAAGAAGCACATCTTAAGAAGAAAATCAGTTAATTTAAGACAGCGTTTCCTTTAAACCAAAAATCACTAGATGTCCTATTTAAGTAATAAACTCCTCTTTGGGAATGAAGCAGAGAAAAGGTTGGTTTCCTGAAATAATCATTGCTATGGTCATAATCAGACCATTTATTTGGACAGGATGTTCCCTGAATTGGCCCTGCCAAGTCCAGGCAGAATAAGAAATTGCAACTTCATCAGCTTTCTAAAGTTAATAGCTCTGTTTTATAATTTACTGAAGTTAATGGGATAAATTTTTAAAGCAGTATGCAATTCCCATTGATGTTAATGGTAGTTCTGGGGCTAAATCCCTATGTATTATTTGAAAGCGCACTTCCATAGTACCTCACAGCCCTCCTTCTGAAGGAATCATTGTCTATTTTTTTGGTAGTGATGTTATTTATCTTTTCTTTAGAGAAATGCTAAAATGCAAAAAAGCCCGTTAAATTGCAAAGATCTTTACAAAACCAATCTAAATTAACTTCAGTGTGGCTTTTGGATATGCTCTTTATTTTAAACTGTGCAACATCAATCCGATGCCAGAGTTCAGAATGTCATTTACCTTTATACCAGTAATTAACATTGCGCCTGTTGTTTTTAGATGCCAATGTGAGTGTCATCTACATCTGCTCCCATCAGATGAACGACGAGTTACTGCTATATTATAATAAAATCCTGAGTCTACAGGCAGCTGTCAAATCGGGGAACCTTGAGGACAGAAGTGACCTGCAGGACAGGTTCAAAATTATCACCCCTGAAGCTATAAACATCTTCCCTGTGAGTTTGTCTTCTAATTACTACGGCTTCAGGGATGCAGTAAAATTAAATTGGAAATTTTATAACTTGCAACGCTCTGGTACACATCAGTGAAATATTATTGCAAGTTTAACAGCTTTACTGATTAGACTACTAGTTGGACTGTAGGAAATAAATATCCCAGTTTAACTTTCAGATTTAGTTGAGCTACTCCTGCCCAGTTTTGTATAGCTGAAGCCTAATTGCAGTGATTGGATGATACCATCAAGTAGGTGAATTTATAACATCTATAGTTCCTTTTCCTTAATTTTGTATGGAGAACACCAAGACAGAGAAAGGCTGGGCCCACCCTGCTCACCAATCTTGTTAGGGACAGAACCTTTTCCAGGGCCCATTTTCCAACTTCCACACTGCTATTCTTTGTTACTCCCTGAACTTCTTTCCTCAAGGGAATTTGGCCTGATTTACCATATCACAGGGTTCATACTGAATGAGGCTCAGATTTTTTTTTTAACTTGTACTGATTTTTAATGAATGGGATGAATTCTTTTTTTTTTTTTTTTTAGATTTTATTTATTCATGTGAGACACAAAGAGAGAGGCAGAGACATAGGCAAAGGGAGAAGCAGGCTCCCTATGGGGAGCCTGATGTAGGACTCAATCCCAAGATTCCAGCATCACTACCTGAGCCAAAGGCAGATGCTTTACCACTGAGCCACTGAATGGGATGAATTCTAAATAGAACTCTATCCCCACACAAGGGAAAATCACGGAGTCACAAGGGCAGTGTTATAGAATAAGGCACTGCAAGAGATGGCTTGAAATGAATTTCTCTGTTTTAACAAGAATGTAAACTTTCCATTTTAAACAACCAACATTTTAATACCTAATGGACTATACAATTTGAGGAGACTTTTTTTTTTTGTATAATTACGGGTCTAAATTTGCTGCTAAAGATAGCTCTCTCCACTCACAAGTGGGATGCACCAAAATCAACGCTCAATTTATTGGCAAAGAAACCAATAGCATACTTTACTATCTATGTGTTGTTACTACTGATTAACACGTCAGATGCACCATGATTTGATACACACACACCGCTCATCCACCCACCAAGAAAGGCCTGCCAGAGGTGAGGAGGTTTACTAAAACATCTCTGCTTTGCTAGAATACTCAGTGAATTGTCATCAGGATTTACTCTCTTCTACCAAGATGAAAATTTTATTTTTTCATAAACTGGATACCTCAATGTTCCTCCCAAAGCTCTCTGCCTAGCTCTGTCTCATGGGTACTGTTTGGCTATAGAAGAGGATGCAGGGGCCGGGTGAACAAGAGAAAAGACAGGGGACAAATGGTCACCACTTCCTTATGGTCTTAGGAACCCCCAGTATCCTCCATCAGTGCAAGGATTGCTTGGTGTTTCCTGGCTATCCCCTGGCCTCAGTGGCAAGGTCACTGTGGACATTAGAAAGTGGGGAAGAAAAAAACTGTCACTAGTGTGTAGTCAAATTCCTGATTTTATCCAGTCAGAAACCAAAGCTAATACCTGGTTGCTGCTGCTAAGGAGTTTTCGCACATCTGAAAAGTCCATATACATCAAAGAGGCATGGAATGGGAAAGGAGCACTAGTTTAGGAGAAGGAAAGTGAGTGCATGAGTAACATTTATCAAATGCTTAGCACACATGTTCTCATTTGGTCCTCAGAAAAATGCTAACAAGCCAGAAATTATCAATCTTCTTCTATGGCTGAGGAAAGCAAGTCTCACTTTCTAGTCCAAAGTTACTGGTGGGGTCAGAGTATGACCCCAAAATCTGTCCAACCCCAGAACACTCTCATGTATTGGAATGACTACTTTGCCCCTGGATGACCTTGTGGCTTGGGCAACTTCCTTTACCTTTCTGGTCCTCTGATCTTCATATATACAATCAGGTGATGGGTTAGGGCATTTCAAAGACCTTTTCAGCTCTACAACCCTGTTACCTGAGACATGTGCCCTGCAGTCCACTCTTCAGCTTCTCGGCAAGAGATAGGCAGTTGGCACTAACAGATGCACTGAGTCACATTCATAGTTTAGGTTTGCACCTTGGTGAGTAGAAACAAGTAGGGATTATTTTAAGTGTTTTATACTTCTCATAGTTTAAATTTAAATTATTTGAGTAATTAATCACTCATAGGCAATCAACTTTTTAAAATACAAAAATTAAACTCTCACTTTCAAATCAGTTCCTGCTCATGTTTAGTTATTGCTTTATTTCCTTTTAATGCGTTTGAGAGATTGTATCAGTGCTGATTTTCATTCAAATGGATGGCTTTAAGGAAATTTTTTTAAAGCGTGCCAAAAATCTGTTTGTACATCTCTCCAAATTACTATATGATGCCTGAATCTGTAATGGTGAAAAGTGCTCTTATAAAGTCATCATGTCTAGTTTTGAACATTTTAACGTTTACAAAGACATCCCAAACAACTACTTTTTTGTCTCAGGTCAAAAAAAAATTAGTGGTGATAAATGAAATGTAGCTATAATGTTATGGAACTAGGAACATTTTAGACTTTTGTCATCTGTGTTAATCTACTGCCTGGATCTGATGATCCCAAATTTCTCTAAATGGTCAGTAATGTGCGCTGTACCATCACTCACTCGTATTCAAATCTTCATTAAAAACATATCAAACACAAAACTGTGGTACCATCTTGCCTGAAGAATCAGGCAGGCCCATAGATGACCATAAACCAGAATCCGGTTGAGTACTTGCCAACAGAGATAAGCAAACCTGGAGGAGCCAGAAACCCAGCCTGGCTGGAAGTGGCTCAGAACTCTAACATTAGGTTCTATCACTGCATCTGGCACCCCCTCATCATACCTCATAAACTCGCCAGACCTTCACTACTCAGTCTATAGAATGGGAGAAGTTTGGTAGCTGTAGCATAAAACTATACTAATCCCCAGGTTTCAATCTTGCCTTTGCTCTTTACTAGCTGTGTGACTTTGGGCAAATCACTCAAGCCTCCATTTCCTCACCTCCAAAAGTTCATTGGTACAGTGTTATATGGGTCAAACAAGAGAATAATGTCAGAAGGCTTTGGCCTTGTGACCTTTTCATTGAGAACACAGCCACCTTGAATCACTCTTCTAGGTACTCTGTAAAGCCCACTGTGTTACATATGTTACAATTATGATTCAAATTCCCAGTTCACCCCAACATTTAATTTTTTTACATTTCCTCATTGGAATAATTTGCAGGGCAAGGAAAGGGGTGAGATAAACAAGGAGGAAAGATGGTGATCAACTAGATGGGAAACAAAACCTCAAGAGTTGGTACCAGCCATTGTCTAGGGAACACTGGGTTTCCTAGAATTGTACTCTCTGAAGTATATGTTGAAAATGGATTTAAATTATGGTAGAAAAGGCATATTGCATAGATCTAAGAGCTTAAAATAGAAGGGCCCTTTTGGAAGAAAGGCCTTGTAGCCTAAATCATATAAATGCTCTTCTCAGAGAGGCTCTGGTTTTTGTCATTTTTTTTTTGTAATTAGGGGAAGAATACATATAACATAAAATTTACCATTTTAATCATGTTAGGTGTGCAGTTCAGTGGCTTTAAGTACATTTTCACTGTTGTGCAACCATCACATTATCCATTTGCAGAACTTTTTCAACATCTCAAGCAGAATCTCTGTACCCATTAAACTAAACCCAGAAGAGCTCTGGTTTTAAAGGGAAAGTTACTTCAGAGCTTGAAAGACTCTAGAAACTTCTAGTCAATGCATCATTTGAATATGGGGGCTGAGGCTCAGAAAGGTCAAGTTTTCTAACTTACCTTGCAAGTTACAAATTCAGGCAAGACTGAAAGCCAGGGCTCTCCTCACTGTCTTTCTCCCATACTCATCAGTTATACCTTCTAACAGTTTGCAAACAAGTGCTGCTAACATTCCTGAAAATAGATGCTTAGCATTTTTCCACATTTTATGCCATGTTGAGTAGATAATTTTGACAAGAGTTGCTGAAGTAGGTGTGAATCTACAAAATCCTTAGGATGCTGGCATCTTGCATTATATAATCTGCATGGCATTTTGATTATTATAAAAAGAGAGCTTTTCTCTGTAATAATAATTACTACTATTTATTGAATATCAACTCAATGCCATGCATTATAATAAGTGTTATACACTCATGATCTTATTTTATCCTTAGAGCAACCCAGCAAATGGGTATTTTTATTTCCACTTAATAGATGGAGAAACTTGAGCACCTGGGTGGCTCAGTCAGTTGAGCATCTGACTCTTGGTTTTGGCTCAGGTTATGATCTAATGAGTCATGGGATCGAGCCCTGCATCCAGCTCCCGCTTAGCAGGGAGTCTGCTTGGGGATTCTCTCCCTCTGCTCCTCCCTCAATCTGCTCTCTCTCTCTCAAATAAATATCTTTTAAATAAACAGATGGAGAAACTTAGGCAGAGGGAGTATAAGTCACTTGCCCAAGTTCAGGTAGTTTATAAGTGATAGAGCTGGATTCTAAGCCAGAACTCCTAAGCCCCCAGCACTTTCTCTTATGCCATGATGCCCTCCTCTCTAGAGAAAGTAAGCTCAGCCTTGGGTTCTCAAATTCCATCCATGGCTAATGTCTTTCCCATGGTCATTCTCACCCATTAAAATCCTACCTATCCTTCAAAATTCACCTCAACCCCAGCCTCTTTCATAATAAAATACTAACGTTCATTAGGTGCTTATTATGTCCAAAGCACTATTATAAGTGCTTTACATGTATTATCTCATTGAATCCTCAAAGCATCCCCATGAGATGGCTACTATTATTATACTCATTTTACAGAGGGGGAAACTGAGGTCCAAGGAAAATGAGTAATTGGACTTCTCTGCTATCCCCACCAGCACATGGCCTCTGCCTCCTTCCTCTATGCCTCTGAGCCCTCTGTAACTCTTTATGGCCCTTCTCTGCCTTGATTTAGTTATCCATTGACTATACTCACTTGTGTCTTCACTCCTTGAATGTAGAGACAACCTTGTACTGGTTTTGGTATATGTTGACCACCTGGCTCTGCCCTCTGGCCCTCATAGACATGCCAGAAGTATTTAACTGAATAAGTGGTCAGATGTATTCCTGAGCAAGGTCTAAATAGTCAAAAATAAAAAGAGTTTTCCATTGGAAAATAAATTTAAGCCTTGTTGAAATTTTCAAATATTTTTCTATCCATGAATCTTCTCCAGAGTGTTGGCTAAAAACCAAAATAATCATTATAAAAGTACATTTTTTCTAAAATGGACTTGGTGGTGGAACTTTGGAAAGAGAGTATCAAGTGCCCTTTGCCTATGGAGTCACTTAAAGAGTTGCTGGATTAGGAGTCCTGTATAGTGAAGCACACTGTAAAGCTTTTTTTCTTCATTTTTTGTATTGATTTTCCAGACGCTTTAGTGTTAAACCATGCCAGAAGTGTTGCAGAGATGAATCACTATTATCCAAAGGCCACCAGCCTCTTTTCCTTCTGACAGAAGGATAATTCCACGTGGATCAAATAAATACAGATGTGTAGTAATTAGTTCTATTCCCAGTGAGCCTATTTCCAACACACTAAAGATGTGAGCGATTATAGAGCCTCACCCTAACAGCTTTTATCAATTTAAACTGCTAAACAACAGGATAGGTCATAACCCAGCCTGCTATTAATAATGCATTTATTGTGTGCAACATTATAAATTAGGCATATGGGCTAGAAAAAGAACACCTTTTAACAAGAATGATATGGTCTCCCCCCAGAAGCATCATATGTGCCTGGCCACTTACCTGATGTACAGTCCCAAGGCAATCAAAAGAATAAAAAATCTCATCCAAGGAAAAGAGACCTACATCGTCAGCGGGCTCCTCCACAGAGATGATTTGGCCGTGGCAGATATGTTAAACATACCCATCCTGGGTCCAGAGCCTGAAATAGCTCATCTTTATAGTAGCAAGTCAGGAAGCAAATGGGTCTTTGACAGTGCTGATGTGCCAGTCCCTCCTGGAGTATATGGCATCTATCGTCACCAACAGGTATGCGGGGTGGATGAATGAGGCTCTGTTCAAATATTTCACACCTTCTTGACCTTGTGGGAGCTTCAGGTCTTCTAGAGCCAGCCCTACCCAATGAAGAATATATGGAATGCCTAAGCTATTTGATGGGATCTGCTTTAGGCCTTCACGTTTCAAAGTGTCTTTCTAATGGCCTTGCAGAAATTGTTGGGATTCCTTAAGGTATTTACTTATTTGGGTTAAGCCATTGAAGGCCCTTTCGATATACTAATCTGCTGTCAGTATTTATCGCCTTAGCATGGATTAGTTGATCATCATATTTGCTAGCCGGTCATTTAGGAAGACCTTAAGAAATGTTAGAGTCAGTTTTGGTGAAAAGGAGCAAGTTTGGAAAACCTCAGTAAGTGAGCCTTTCTGCCGAGTCAGGTTGCAGAGGTCCTGCAGCAGAGGGCTGTAGACATCCTTGGCTCTGTAACACAACCCTTTGGCTCCTGAGGAAGGGGCCATAAAGGGAGTAGGAGAAAAATCCTGGAAAGAGGACAGGAAATGGGTCCAGGAATAAAACTATCTGCATCCATGTCTTTGCTTTGAACCAGGTCTCTGGCTATGCATTCCTCCAGCAGACCTTTAGGATCCTAACCATTTAGAGAACTATATTAGTCACTAGAAATGATCTTTGAGTCAGCTCTGGCAGATGTTCTCCCATGTAACCACTACCTTTTTTCACAAGAAAGAAAATAAAAAGACAAATGGCTATTAACATTTCCTAACCTCTGTTTCAGTAGACATCTCTTAACCATTACTCCTGGCCAATCACGACTACCCCAGGCACACAGTTCTCAGGAATCTAAAGAACTGTGCACAATGAAGCAGTTTGTGAGGGACCATACTTAGGGATCCTCCTTCTTCCCTCAGTCGCTTTATCATGATGTTCTGTACATCATAGCTGCTGAGTCCCCAAAATCAAGCCTTTCAAAATCATACTTCTCTAAAGAGTAGAGAAGGTATTGTTAATTTATTTAATTGCCCTAAAATGTTTCAGTCTTGCTAGACTGTTCTTGGGCAATACATGGACTCAGGAAGGAAGTTGCAGAGTCTGGAAAAAGCACAGGCAATTTTAATAAGAGAGAGAGGCTATTCCTGAACTGGTGTGCCCCACTGTTCACTATCATTAGTCTCCACTGGAATTTGAAGGTAACAAAATGCATCATTTGACTCTGCTTCCCAGTAGAATGAATACTCAGCTGAGACTTGAGATAAGTGAAATGCACTTTAAAACTATAACTTTACATGTGTAAATTACAGAAAATAGTCTTCAAAACTTTAAAGTGTATATGCAAAATTTATGTTAAGTCTTGCTTTCATCTTGACTGATGAGAACTCGGGCCATCTTTGCTAGGAAATATTTTAGAACTGTATGTGTTCATTGTGGAATGCAGTAAAACTTCCTTCTCATGCTGGTACTCAGGAACAGGATTAAAAACCTCCTCCTAGGGTGGGGGGGGATGGGGTAACTGGGTGACAGGCACTAAGGAGGGTACTTGATGAGATGAGCACTGGGTACTATGCTACCTGTTGGGAAATTGAATTTAAATAAAATATTAAAAAACAATAGAATATTGTAATTTTATATTTTTAATATAAAATATTAAAACAAGCTCCCCTCCAAAATAAATAAATAAACAAAAACTTCCTCCTAAAAACCTCCTAGACACGGAAAAAAAAAAAAACCTCCTAAACAACTTGGATTTGAAGGATGTCATTTAACCTATGGCATGTGCAAATCACATCACAATAAACCAAGTTATCACTGACTTCCACTCCACTTGTTTGAAAACATATGTCTGAGGTCATCAAGAATTAAAGTACTCCACTGAGAATTCTCAAGATAGTGACTGCCCTATCTAATCTATCTGAGTGTGTCAGCATTTTGAATTTGCAGATGGTGATGAATCAATAACACTGACTTTTTACCGATGTGCACCATAAACTTAAAGCCAGTGAAAGAAAGCTGTGATTATTTTAATTTAGGTGAATAAATATTCCCAACTATCAGCTAGATTTTAGCAGCTGGCGTTTTTCTACTTTGCTCCACACCAGTATAAAATGAAAGGCAATTAAAGAATATATTACCTCTTTTGAACAGATAGACTCAAATAGAAAATTGATAAATGTTTGGAAATAGCATAAAGTCATTTGGTTTATGATTAAGTAATTTATTTGTTTATTTTTTAAATCTAGTATGAGCCCAGTGAGCATTTCCTGTTTTGATCCATAAAGTAACCATGCAAGCTCTCTTTCTGACATGTGCTCCGTATAAAATATTGACAGCTTCGGTTAAATAATCAAAACTGGCGATGCTATTTTAAAAGCACTGTTCAATTTTCACTTAAAGATAGCACATAATTCTTTCCAGTGGTGCAGTCTTTACAATACTATTGATCCTCTTCATTACTGTAGGGGATCCATCAACAGACACTCATTTATAGGATTCTCAGAAGCAACAAATAATAGGATTTGGAAGAAACAGATAATAATTCTGTTAGTAGTTGAAACCTCCAAATATACAATATATCTGAACATACAATGAAAAAGGCTATGAAGGCTAGAACACTATAAAGGCTGGAACACCTTTCCTTAGACTAGCAAAAGAATTTCATCAGATATGGGGATCCCTAGGTGGCGCAGCGGTTTGGGTGCTTGCCTTTGGCCCAGGGCGCGATCCTGGAGACCCGGGATCGAATCCCACATCGGGCTTCCAGTGCATGGAGCCTGCTTCTCCCTCTGCCTATCTCTCTCTCTCTCTCTCTCTCTCTCTCTCTCTCTCTCTCTCTCTCTCACTGTGTGACTATCATAAATAAAAAATTTAAAAAAAAATAAAAAAAAGAATTTCATCAGATATGAACCGCCAGAGACCATTTCTACTTCTGCAAAGTACAATAGTGATACAGCAAAGTATGATTAAATATAGAATCTATCTTCTCAACACATTAGAGGAAGAAGGGATGCAACTTTGGAAGGCACATTACAAAACCTTCCTAGGCTATGCTCATAGCCATATGGTATGCAGACAAGAGTACTTGTCATTTAAACACCAAATTATCTACAGACACTACTTGATAATTAGGGAGCTAAGATAATTCCATTTCCACCCTAATTGAATACCCCATGGTTGCATGGGGCTTCTGGGGATCCCAAGTATGCCCATTTTGATATCACTTCCATACTGCTGTGTGGTGTAACATCCCCAGGAAGATTTGCTGAAAAGACACAATATAGGAGAACAGATTGTGTCTTTAATCAAAACAATTTTAATCTTCTAGCTTCAGACTTCAGCATAACTATAATCTTGAGTGCTTTCACACTCTTTGGTTAAAAAATCAAAAATCCATTTGGTGAGCAAACACTCATCAAAAGAGAAGAGAATAAGAGTGTCATAGAGACCTACCTCCCTAAATACAGAAGACCATAGTCAAGAGAGCTCAGGAGAGAGAATGCTTAATACTGTTTTGTTTCTTTCTGGGTAATACTGACCAGAACATCTGACAGGAAGAACAGACAAAAAAAATCATTTTGTGATTTAATGGGTTTTCTCCAAGGTTCTACTAGTAGAATATTACTTATAATCAAGTAATCTGGGCTATAGACTTTTGTCTGATTCAAATTTATCCCAAGTGGCTTATTGACTACAAGGAAAATTGCTTCTCTTGTTCCTCTTTTGACTTCTTTCTCTACCTCACTCTCCTCTTCCACCTCTCTGCAGGCTGAGGTAGGCCACATGGAGGAGAGGGAACAAGCTGGGGTCAGTGTGTCCCTGGGTGGAGTCTCTGCTCTTCCACTTAACACTGTGTGATCGTGGGCAAACTATTTAAATTAGTTGAGTCTTGAGGGGCCTGGGTGGCTCAGCCAGTTAAGCATCACCCTCCATCTGGCTCAGGTCAGGATCTGGGGATCCTGGGATTAAGCCCCTTGCTTGGGCTCCTGGCTCAGTGGGGAGTCTGCATTTCCCTCTCCTTCTACCTCTCCATCTCCCACACCAACCGCACCCCTCCCCCCAGGCTTGTGCTCTCTCTCTCTCAAATAAATAAATAAATAAAATCTTTTAAAAATAATAAAAGTAAATCAACTGAGTCTCAGTTATTCATATATAAAATGGAACTAATAATGACATCTGCTTCATTTTTGAGTATTACAAGAGAAAAGTCATGTAAAGAGCCTAGCCAAAGCCCTGGCTCCTATCAAGAGTTCAGTAATGTTAGATGTTGCTATCATTATGATAAAACTTCAACTTCTATCCATTCCATTTCCATGGGATTGAGCCCCATTCTTGAGGGAATACTGTTTCAAATAAAACATAATTATTTTCATGAATGTTTTATCTCCTTTATGGGTCTTGTTCCCATAATACGTATGACATACTTGGCCAATTGACCAGTCAAACAAATGCATTTCATGTACGTTAATGAGGAAACAATTAAACCTTTATAGGTTATGACATTTAGAAACTCAGCAAAGAAACTCCAAATAGTTAAAGTTTTCAAGACTATAACTCTTTATGGTCTTGAAACTATAAAAAAAATAATTTGATGAATCAATAAGTAAACACATAATGCTGTAAAAAAAGAAACAAAACAAAACCAAGATTCAGTTACAGATATTGAGAGATTCTTTTGTCTTCAAAAACTAGCAAAATGAGGGGATCCCTGGGTGGCGCAGCGGTTTGGCGCCTGCCTTTGGCCCAGGGCACGATCCTGGAGACCCGGGATCAAGTCCCACGCCGGGCTCCCGGTGCATGGAGCCTGCTTCTCCCTCTGCCTGTGTCTCTGCCTCTCTTTCTCTCTGTGTGTGACTATCATAAATAAAAATTAAAAAAAAAAACTAGCAAAATGATAATTTCAGAATTTCTCATAAATAAGACTATACTTTTAAACATACCTTTAGTCCCAGTGGTTAGTAGTTTCTTCACATCCTATATATGTCACTTAAAACTTAATCTGTCTTAATAATTAGAATATAACCAAATGAACAGACCATGTAAATACACCTGAGAAGTACAACTAAGTTCATGGAATCTAGGAAATGAGCCATATCAAATGTTGCTGTGTCTTGGGTTCCACAGATGCTAGAGCAGCTGGGTCAGCTGGTCATAGATCACCTGGAAATCCAGCGCTGGCTCTTTAAAATGGACTATGAGTTTAGAGGAAACGGGACTGCATTTTGTGACATTCCTTCCCACCTGGAGTGCTATGACTGGTTCCTAAAGGAGAGGAGCAGATACGGCTATGAGGACTGGAGGAAGAAATGGGCACAGGTGAGTTCGATGGTGACAGAAACCCACAGTGTTTGTGAGCAGTTAAGGGATGATGCAAAAGGCTCATCTGGGAGGTCAAAAGCACTTTCTTCTAGACTCAGCTGAGTCACTTGTCAGCCGTGAGACCTTAGATCATTTTCACTTTCTTGGGCCTTCGTCCTCATATACAAAGTGAATGGGCTTAATCAAGTTACTTTAACATTACTTCTAATATATTTTTAATTTTTTTTAAAATTTGAGTTAACACACAATATTCCATTAGTTGCAGACATATAAACAGTGACTCGACAACTCTATACATTATGCTGTGCTCACCGCAAATGTCACTACTTTCTGTCACCATACAGCACTATGACAATCCCATTCATTACATTCTCTATGCGGTGCTTTCATCCCTGTGACTTATTCATTCCATAACTGGAAGCCTGTATGATTAGGTTATTTTAAACGTCCCTTCTTTGGGCCCTAAAAGCCTTCAGTCACATCTTCAAATTGATTATGATAATTAGGAAGTAATTTTTTTTACTATGTTCAAATAACATTAAAAATCTTATCTTTTGATTTAAGTGGGTCTTGATCATATGCTTCTAACAAGTGTTGTTATTAAGCTGGCTGTATTTTATTATGAGAGACAAATTCTAGTAGTGAATGGCTGTCACCTGGAAGCTAATGTATAAAAGCATTCTGTCAGCAGTCATATGTTTTTGAAGACAGTTCAAAGAAATTTATGTAATGCTGGTCCCTATGAGATGTTGAGAAAATAATACATCTCAGCCAAAAAAACCTCCCAGCAGAAACTAAATAATAGGAAAGAAACCTTAGCATATGAGTGGATGTGTGTGTTTTTCCACATATACTGGTAGAAGGATGAATTGTACAACCTCTTAGTCTGTTCCAAACTTACTTAATAATTAAAGTAATTTTAATGGTTTTAATATATCAATTAAACCCACCATTTTTTAAAATTTTTATTTATGATAGTCAGAGAGAGAGAGAGAGAGAGAGAGGCAGAGACACAGGGAGAGGGAGAAGCAGGGAGAAGCAGGCTCCATGCACCGGGAGCCCGACGTGGGATTCGATCCTGGGTCTCCAGGATCGCGCCCTGGGCCAAAGGCAGGCGCTAAACCGCTACGCCACCCAGGGATCCCGATTAAACCCACCATTCTTAAAGCTGCCTCACTTTCCATCCAGAGGCCTAGATCTCCCTGGCTTCTCTTAATGTCAAATCTCTGTTTTGGCTGACATACCAATGAAAGCATAACTGACGAGGAAAATTTGGGTGCAAATTCCCTTAACTAATTCCTTCCCTGCTGACATACATAGCAGTGGGCTGGGCAGTGAGTTGCATCTGCTTTGAGCATCCCACTACAACAATATATGAATCAAAACACAAGTGATGGAAAAGGAGGGGCACACAGAGAGAACCACATTATTCTTGTGGAAGTGAAATGACGAATAAATCTAGAGAACAGTCAGAAGAGAGAGTTCCCTTTGACAAATGTTACTGTTCTCCCCATGATCTATTCCGGGCTTTTCTTCCCCCTCCATCAGTGAATGGACTAAATGCACTACCTGTCATGGCCAGCTTTTTACATATTATTTAAAGGTTACCAAAGTGAATTACTCTTCTAGAGAAAAAAAAATAAAACAAGGAAAATGTATTTAATTTTGAGGGCCATAGAGATTTCTCTTGTGTTCTGTTTGAATTGGATTTTATTTCATATTGTATAGAATTTTCTTTTCAAAGCCAAATTACTGAAATTAAAACATGAAAATAAGACTTTATTTTTTATAAAAGACTTTTTTATTTAAAAAATGTTAGTGTGCAAGGTTATTTTTCTCAATATTTCAAGCTAATAATTTTTAAAGAATTCCCTACGATAGATGCTAGACTATGATAAATTTAAAATGTTTGACTTTAAGTTTTAAAAATAGAATAATGACACGTGGCTAAATTGCACTTAAAACCTGACTACATGTTATTTAATTTCAATTACTTTAAACTACACCATTTAAAATTGTCACCAAATACATTTGGTGTTAATGTTAATATTATTAAATGTGAAACTCTTGAATAATTAATTATCTACATCATTTTTTATTTTAACAAGGAAAAAATAATTATTCAGAAGTCTTTTTAGTACTGTGAGGGACTGTGCTTAGCCATGATGTAGTTAGAAGCCAAAAATAAAAACTAAAGCGGTTCCAAAGAGCTTTTTTTTTTTTTTTTGTAGGAGACTATTGACATTCTTTTGCCTTCAAAGTGAAATTGTATTCAGAGTAGAAGTGAACTGCAATCTCCATTGAGTGCAGCTATTGAGAATTTAGGATTAGAATTATCCTTTGTTCCAGAAGACCATAGTAATGCTGCACATTTAGACATCAAAGCATTACTTTATGAGCACAGGCATGTTTTAATGTCCTATTACAGTTTGTAGACCAGTTTCTTTTGATAATGAAGATGTTGTGTCATCAAGCCTAGCCTGGCACATACAAAACATATGCTGGCAGGTTATTAAAAATTTCAGCTTCTTGATGAAAGACTATCCTGCAGGCTAAGAGTCCAGAGAAAGACTCCATTCTGGGAGAATTATTAGAAATGAGAATATGACTGTAAGCACTAAATTATGTTAATACTTACAAATAGCATCATTTGCATAGCAGTTTATGACACGATACCATGATTTTTCTCATTGGTATGTTGTAGGCAACAGATTAAAAACAGTGCTGTTTATGGGAGTTTGAACTGTTTTGAGATTCTCTTGCATCTTTTGCAGATATTGGTTTTAGAGGTAGGCATGATTCAGTGTAGACTCAAGGATCTAATACAAAGATCATCTTTTTTTTCTACTTATCTAATTTAGGATCAGAGTTATTTGACTGGTTGCAAGTGAGACTCAAAACAAAGTTGCAGAATCAACAAATGCTGGAAAAGCTATCATCACATTAAAAAAACAAAAACCCTATAGACATGTAGGTGATTTTAGGAAAAGCATAATATTACATGATGGCCACAGTGGCAGCAAAGGATGTTTTTGTTTTCATGGTGGTTTGGTACCAACTTTTCTTACTTCATCCTATCAGCTAACAAAACCTACTTTCCGCAATAGGTGCCAGTAAACTTGCTCACTTAAGCACTCAATGCTTGTTACGGTTTAATGAAACCACACACTTGCACACACTCCAAACACCCCACTCCCCAGTTGGGGGTGTTTCTTTTCATTTAGTGGGAATGAAGGCTTAAACAAAGGAAGGCACGCTTGTAGGGGAAAAGCCTTCCTAGCAGCTGTCACCCAAGACAGTCTAGGGAGACCCAGGTAGACATTTGCTGTGGTATCAGTCCTTCTTGTGATTCTTTTTTTCTTCCTTTCCTTTTTTTGAAGGGTAAATATTCCCTCCCTCATTCCTGGGAGACTGGCTTGGTGGCAGAGATGCTGCTGGTGATGCTGCTTTGCAAGAAAAGCTCTTTCTAGAACAGTTTCTCCATGTAGAAAGCTAAGCCATTTTTTTTTTTTCTTTGTGCAGCCCTTTGTTGAGCCTCTGTTTCCCTGGATGGACAGTTCAGGATGCCAAGGGCTTTTACCACTTACAAGAGAAAAGAGGAATTGAACTGGCTCTTGAATGCTACTATATAATATTGCTATTTTAGTCCATCCAAGAGCAGTTTTATGTTTACTTGTACTTTTGTGCACTTTGTTAGACATCAGAAATTAATTTGGGGATCACCAAGGAAAACAATCTGTATTAAAAATATTAAAAATATGGGGGCACCTGGCTGACTCAGTAGGTAGAGCATACAACTCTTAATCTCAGGTTCATGAGTTCAAGCCCTACATTGGGGCCTACTTAAAATAAAAATAAAAATAAATTAATTCAAGGCATCCACGCCTCGGAAAAATAGAATAAACCACAGTAGTTGTTTTGCTTACTTGCAGAATGAAATCAACAAACAAAATTACAGAGAACCATCACCTACCTAGTTAGTGCCTTAGAACTCCATGTCTCTATTGCAAAGACCTTCATCTTTTGAGATGTCCTTGCCTCTGGGTCACAGGAGCCACTGTAGGATGTCTGAGACTTGGTGCTTATTGTGGAATTTAGCAGGTATATTAGGTGATCCCAAAGAAACATTATCCTACAACCACATAATTTTTTAGAAAAGCAAGATTAAAGAAATATTTAACCAAATAAGTACATAATCACTTTTCCCAAACATAGATGTTTCACTTCTGTGTCTTAATAATAATTAGCATTGTAGAATAGCTGGGGGGTGCCAGGCCTTTCAGCACTTTGTGAACTGTTTCATTCAATCTCATAAAAACCCTGACGTAGGGATCCCTGGGTGGCGCAGCTGTTTGGCGCCTGCCTTTGGCCCAGGGCACAATCCTGGAGACCCGGGATCGAATCCCACGTCGGGCTCCCGGTGCATGGAGCCTGCTTCTCCCTCTGCCTGTGTCTCTGCCTCTCTCTCTCTCTCTGTGATGACTATCATAAATAAATAAATAAATAAATAAATAAATAAATAAATAAATAAATAAATAAAAATAAAAACCCTGACGTACTTACTCATTTACCTCCACACCACTTTGATAAGTTTTGTTATTCTGTTTACAGGTGGAGAAACTGATGCTTTAGGTAGTTAAGTGACTTGCCCAACTTCATGTAGTTAATAAATGACGGTGTCTAGCTCGGAACCCACATCTAATCCCCTGGCCCAATGTTCTTGCCACGTTGAGCTGAGACTACTTAGAAAAGACCCCTTGTTTGAAAATCCAGAGCAGTGTTCTCCCCCACGTCCCTGCCATTGTGACCGGCTGCCTGAGGGACAGGTCTTCTGCTTTCTACAGAGATGTGGAAAAACACATTCCCCAACACAGTAGAACTTTGTGCTAAAATTTCCCTCAAAGGCAATGAGCTGAGAGGTAGGAGGGCAGTCGGTACACATACCTAAGAGCTGTAGAAGGGCCAGAGCCCTGCTGGGGAGTCCCTAAGGATTCAGTTTTTTGTAACCCAACTGCCTCTCATACCCGTATATGTTCTTGGGTGATGAGATTGAGTTTTAGATACCACCCTTTGATGGTTCATGGAAGTGACAAACTTTCATTGCCTTTCTCAACTCAATACAGGAGCGTGATCATTTTTGTAAGCCTGTAAACAAATTCTCACAAAGCTCAGAGTAGCCAAACTTCAAGATTAAATGTGGCAATAAAAATATGGTGGGCATTTTGAACCTTGTTTTTTGGATAAGCAGCCACATACTTTGGTGTTTGTTTGTTTGTTTCTGTCTCCTAGTTCTGTTTGGCATGGTAAACTCCCTCTTAAGCTGAATAAGTGTTGGAATAGGCTAGTCTCAATAATTGAACATTCAGGATAACCAGGAGGTGGTCTGGCTCCTCAGGGTTCTGTAGCCCAGACACATCAAGGTCACCAGAGGGGAGCCATGGGAAATCACTTTTGCTCTCCAAGTCTCTACCTCTTCATCTGTAAAGAGGGATAATATTAGTACCTGCCTCATGGGGGTGGGTGGTGAAAATTAAATAAGATACCCTTATAAATGGGCTAGCAATATACATAGCACACAATAAGCCTTCAAGAAATGCTCCCTGTTATTATTAATATTACCATAAAACTGTATTACAGTTAAATTGCAGGTAACATTGCACAAGTATATACAATTTAATCTTCCTTGGGTGATTTAGAAGGTCTTTTAGCATCTTGTAGGCCTCTAGAATTTTGTTCTATGTGTCAATTATCATTCTATAGGATTGTGGCTGTTGAAGATATGCACTATTGATCCGATTGTGGCCACCCAGTGATTGACCAGATAACGTCTTTAAAAGAATAAACCTTTAAAAAAAATAAACCAGTGTGGTTTCTTATCATTTGAAAATTATCCCAGTTATTTTAATTTTCTACATGTCGAATAAAGAGGCATTGACCTGATAAAGTAGAGCTTACTCTGACCACAAGCTCGAGACCCAGTTGCTTCATTTTCTGGTTCCAGTTGGTGTCTTTTCTAATTAGCGTAGCAGCACGTCACCACAATCACTGGAAAGCTTTAATCATTTACATATTTTTCCTTATCTCTGAGAATGACTTAGAATGTTTTCTTCCAGTTCAATGGTTATTTTCATGAAGCTGCCAGGGAAAGGTTTGAGGTACTTTACTGGGCTGGAGAAAGAGGACAGGAGAAGGGAAATTGCCTCCCCAAGTACATGAAAGCCGGGTCCCCCTTCCGAGGACCTATAATAACCAGCTACACAAGCTGTTGGTTTGTGTGTCCTATTGATTTAATATGCTTCTAATCAGTACATAAAGCTATGGGCCTGCAGTGTTAATTTTTCATATGCTTACAAAGTACCCTTTGATTTTCTGTCACACGTTAATTACAGCGTTTTGCCATTAAATAGGAAGCTTTGTGTAAACTAATTACTAGGTAATCATTGTCTACTGCAAGCGTGCTGTTTGTACCTTTTATTTTATTCTAAAAATGCACAGATCTCACAGTCTGGAAACACTCTACCTTCCAGCCATTAGCTCTCACTAATTCATAGCATTATTGTGGTGAGAGTGTAGGAGTTGTAATTGTTGTGGTATCAGAGCTGTTAATTACCGGAGTAAACAGTTGAAATGGTGCCAAGGTCTATTGTACAAGGCAGAGAAAAGGAGGTTTAAATGCTACTCCCACCATCTGGGGACTAGGGGAGAGGCAAATGCTTGAGAACAGCAGTGAGGCGCTATGGCCGCCTCAGCTCCAGGGTTGGCGGCCATATGGATCCGGAATATTCTGAATCAATTGAATTTAACTGCCAGTTTTTCGCAATAACAGCGTGGAAGGAAGGAATAAAGCAAAAGATGAGAGAAACGAGAATTGGTTCGTGTTTTCACATCCAGGAAGTCCCCCTTGGAGTTCTTTTGGAAATATCTGCTTTGCTGAAAACCACAGAGCAGACACGGGTATTTGGAACAGATTCAGAACGAGTTTTTACTCTCTGCCTCCGACTGTGCCATTTGCTTCTGGACGTCTGTCCTCCATGCCCCTGGGTGAGACAGGGATGCCCTTGAGAAGATTCAGACTTTCCTATCGTGGCACCAGATCCGACCAAAATCTTCACTTTTGGAATTCACTGACTTATTACTCTGGTATTTTCACCAGCGTGGTCTGTAGAAAGAACACAGTAATAAGTACATAAAGCTATCATATCTGCCCAAGTATATACATTCATACATGTGGAAATACCGAAGAAGGTACGGCTCTTCATTCTGATCAAGAAGAGTAAATGCTTGCCCATTCATTTTGTATAAAAGTAAAATAAAAATCCTCCTTCTAATGTCTCATTTCATTCCACAAATTCACCCCTCTCCTCTACCACTTGAATAAAAAAATCAAAGTCCAAAGGGCACATGTGTTTTCTTTTGTGTTCGATTTCCAGCTAAAGAGCTTTTTTTTTTTTTTTTTTTTTTTTTTTTTTTTTTTTTTTTAGCACATGCAGTTTCTCAACCCGTGATATTTCTCTAACTGGTAAGAAAGAGATGTATTACCAATAATAAGAATTATGGCCACTTCGACTGACAGTTGATTTTGAAACTGCATGGTTACGGCTTCAAAAGGCTGTGTAATCTTTAAAACACTCATGTATTTACTTGATGTCACTATTATTTCATACAATTTCCTTTAAACCCATTTTCCCCACGTTAAAAATATTTTTTAAAAATCTGCCACTTGCAGCTGTAACTACTTTTTAATATCATTCCCAGACCATGAACATATTATTCTTTTTTTAAACCACCCTGGATTATTTATTTTTAATTGTTCCTTTAGCAGATGTTGGAGTAATTCAGGGTGTAGTGTAAACGACTCCTTTAAAGAGAGAGATCACAAGACTGCACGGTACATCAGGAACCAAGGACAGTGTTTGTTGGGCTCTTAAGATGGCAGTTTGGGCCCTAGGGGGACAAATTTCCTGCTTTTGTGCGTGTGCAAAGTTCAATTAAGAATTTCAAGAAACGCTTAATCTTGATCTATTGAAACCCCAGCATGCAGCGCGACAGGATGAGCCTAGAAAGAAAACCACAGCCCCCTGTGAGGAGGGGGAAAGAAACAGCAGTTTAAGTGCTGGAAAGTTGAAAAGGAATGAACCTCTCTAGTGTTTCTGGTCGGGGTGAAGCAGTTGTGCTGAGCTTTGGAATGGAAGCACAACATATGTGCCTCAGTTGGACAAAACGCTTCTCCAGTCAAATCAACTACTAGGCCTGCATGTTGGTACAAGGTGGAGGCCTACATAATGAGGGACAGACTCCTCGAGAAGCAGGGAGTGGATAATGCTACATAAGTATGGAATTATATACCGCATTTTCACCATTCTGTTTAATGAGAGCCGCCACCGCAGCGAATCACTTGCCACACAGCTGAAATGGGCCATTAGCTATCAAGGGAAAATTGTCTTTGCCGCTTTCAGCAGATGGAGCAAATATTTTACAAAGCAATTTTACATACCAAAAACATTTGTGTGCCTTGGTAATGTTGGCTGTTTTACATTATGTTACCTTCTACAGCAGCATAATTTTCCATCTCATCGAAGGCAAAGTTGGCATTTTTGATTTTTAAATTCTCAATTAACAATTAAACATGGAGTATTAAAGCAGTCCTTAAACTTTAAGTAGGTGTGGGAAGTAGTTTATGACTTGCTGAAGACATTTTCATTTTTCCTTCATCTTCTCAGCATATTTTTGTACTCTAAAGAGGGACTGTTCCTAATGATCTTAATGGAGAGAAAGGAGTGAAAACTTCACTTACCAATTGCAGAATGAGAGTAACCAACACACAGACAATCAGAACGTTTGCTGACTGAAAGCATCCAGCACAGGTGTGGGCACACGGTTTGGCTCACCCATTTATACCTGCTTAAAATGTTTGAGATTCAAGTAACAGAAAATCCGATTCAAAATGGCTCGATATCTCAGCTAATTGAAAATCCAAGGATTTAGTCTGACTTTGGACAAGGCTTAATCCAGTGTCTCAATACCACTAAGGAGGCAGTGACTCTCCATCTCTCCTCATTGCACATTAATGTCAGCTCCACCCTAAGGCTGGCTGTCTGCAGGGTTGTAAGATGGCTGCCAGTAGCTCCTGGAGCTTGTCCTTGGTCAAGACAATAGGAAGAAAGAACACGGGAGTTGAGGGTGAGTTGCTCTCAATCAACTTGTACACAGCTAAGAATGTGGTAGGGGCAGTTCTTGAAAGGAAGTCTGGGACATCGTTACCCTGAACAAGGGGACAAAGATGTTGGGTGGCCAATAACAGATGTCCACTCTACCATTTTTTTCATTAATTTGACAGCACAGTCTTTGCATCACATATGGATGATCTAATCTGACCCAGAGTGACCATTTATGCCCTCTGATGGTGGTTACAGAAACAGATCCCATTGCACTCTGGCATACTGGTATCAACTGGATTTGAATCCCAGTTTGCTATTTCATGGCTGTATGACATGAAATGGAAATGATAATATCTACTCCAAGAGTGGCTTTGGGATAATAAATATAAAAAATCTCTGGCACAGGCCTGCCACATGGTAAGCTTTCAGTAAGTGAGAGCTATTATTTTACCTAAAAAAATGACCATAGTGGTAAATGCATCCATGCACAGCAAAGTAACCTTTCTAAATTTGCCCTCAAATTTGGAATCCCTCCCTTCTCTCCATCTCTGTGCCACCAACCAATTCACATCCTGAACACCTTTCACAGTGCCCCACACTTTATGCTCTAAAGGAGGCAGCAAGGCTGGTGAAGAAAACTCACTTAGGAGTCAGAGGACTCCTGTAGGAGCTCTCTTGTAGGAGCAAGAGAGCTCCTACAGTCTCAATGTGTGGGTGTGGGAGTCCCATCCCCTCTTCTGTAACATGCAGCATTTGACTTAGATGGTTCACATGGCCCCTCTCAACACTGACAGTCTTACTTAGTTTTTTAGGTCATTGTCCTGCCCTTCTGACCTTATGCCACCCTCCATTCCTGCATTTAGAGATATCAGAAATCTTTATGAAGCAGAACAATCTAGCTAGGTTCCTTGGTTTCTCTTTTGAACACCACCAATGTATGATGTGAGAGATTAGAAGTGATTAGCCAAGACATTATTTTCCTTAATCTACCACTGCAGATCTAGCAAAGAAGCTTCTAAAATAAAGTGGATTTTGGTGAGATTGATATTTAGAGCATTCTTTTGTATTCATTCTTTCCCCTCTTCCACCCTCCCCCCAACACACACACACACACACACACACACACACACACACACACACACAGAATTTACCTGGGAAACCTAACTCTCTGGAGTTTGAAGTAGTTTTAGTCATTGAGGGCAGTATTAAATTGGATATGCTAGCAGCTTCCCCTGAGAGATCACAAATTTCCTTCAGTGATATCTCTCTTCCTTCAAATTTACACTTTCTTGATAGAAAAAGAGAGTGGGCTGAGAGGCAAGGTCCATACTTGACAGATAAGACTCTTTAGAATGTCTTGGTCTGGTGGAGGGAGGCCCTGTGCTCTATGCTCTGCAGGTATCTTGGAAAACTTCCAAGGTCATGACTATTGTCAATGCACTCTGGGGGTAAATGTGTGTACTGGAGAAAGTGTGACAAGCCTGTGCAATGGCAAAGATGTTGCCAAAGTTTCTCCTGGATGGGAATTGCTCTAGAGCTACCAGCTCCACAAAGGCCAGCAGCTAATGTGTGTTGACAGAGCCAGTGTAATCATGATGGAAGAAGAATCTGAAATTCTGATTTTTTTTCCAAAAAGTAAAATGAATTTTTCTAACATCCATTTATCACCTATAAGATACATACTTTCCTTTTCACACCCCCAGAGTCGTTAGCTCTAAATGATCTACTCCGTGTGGGTGGTGGGACCTCTGAAACACTGACTGGGCAGTCTACCACCTTGATGTGACTCACCAAAGTGAACCTTTCTAACTACTCACTTTACAAGCTTGTAGGATAGAGAAGATGCCCACCCCCTCACCACTGCTGGCTTATTTTCTTTTTAATTTTTTTTTTATTTATGATAGTCACAGAGAGAGAGAGAGAGAGGCAGAGACATAGGCAGAGGGAGAAGCAGGCTCCATGCACCGGGAGCCCGACGTGGGATTCGATCCCGGGTCTCCAGGATCACGCCCCAGGCCAAAGGCAGGCGCCAAACCGCTGCGCCACCCAGGGATCCCCACTGCTGGCTTATAACAGACATTTTACGTATTGTATATATACCCCCACACACATATACTTCTATATATACACACTTTGGGCGGTGAGGAGGAGGCAAAGAAAGCAAGCTAGCATTCATTCCCACAACCTCTATTTTTTTCTGTCTTTAGTCCATGTTAAAAATCACCCAGTAACACAATCTGACAACGCCAACAAGCCTCTTCATTCTAGGAGCCTCCACCTCCCATTTGTAAAGCAGGGGGCATAGTACCGTGCAGGCCTACCTTGGAGTGTTACTGTAGGGACCGAATGAGCTCATGAATGTGAGCCTACTCTGACAAGGAAAAGTATTTTATGTATAGTTTTTTTTTTAAGATTTATTTATTTATTTATTCATGAGAGAGAGAGAGAGAGAGAGAGAGAGAGAGAGAGAGGCAGAGACACAAGCAGAGGGAGAAGCAGGCTCCACGCCGGGAGCCCAACATGGGACTCGATCCTGGGACTCCAGGACTGCACCCTGGGCCAAAGGCAGGCGCCAAACCACTGAGCCACCCAGGGATCCCCATGTACACAGTTTTGACCATCCCCATGAGCCTAGGGGTTTGTATGGTGTGGTTATGTTCGTGGGTGTGTGTGGGCGCCTAGGTATACCTGAGTTCATTTTGAAGGGAATAAGCCTGGATTACGGCAGATATTCCTTTACCAGCATCTGCCCTTAAAGGTTTGGTACGTGTCTGACCTATGCAAAGTGATAATCATTAGAGAACAGAAACTGCCCCTCTGAAACTGAGAACTGGCATCAGACATCGGATGGCCCTCCGTGGCTATTGAGCCATGCTGCACCCATGAAAAGGGTGCTTTTAGGGGTGCCTGGGTGGATCAGTGGTTGAGCATCTGCCTTTGGCTCAGGGCGTGATCCCGGGATCCTGGGATCATGTCCCACATCAGACTCCCAAAGGGAGCCTGCTTCTCCCTCTGCCTATGTCTCTGCCTCTCTCTCTCTCTGAGTCTCTCATGAATAAATAAATAAAATCCTTAAAAAAAAAAAGAAAAGAAAGAAAAGAAAAGAAAAAAGAAAAGAAAAGAAAAGAAAAGAAAAAAGAATAGGGTGCTTTTAAGCTGTCTCTCCACTGCTCTGACAGAGTCCTCTGCACCTGGCTCTGAGCTCTGGCCTCATCCACCGGCGCCCAGATAGTATGCAAGTTCTCAGCAGAAACTATGCTGTTGGGGGATGTTTGTGGGAATGGGGGAGACAAAACAGGGCTCTTATATGGAATGTTGGTTTGCTGCCTTTTCTTGATTATATGAGCTGCATGTCCTGCAGGGTTTGTATGATTCGGTTGTTTGGCAGGGGGACAATTCTCTTTTCACTGGTACTAAGGCCATTCTTAGTATACCCATCTTTGCAATTTCCCAACAGATGTTTTCAAAATAAATTAATGGAATAGTTAATACCCACCCCGTTACTCCAGCTCATATCTTTTTCTTAGAGAGTTAATCACGGCCCTAAGCTGCCTCCATGTGCCCCAGCATCCTCTAGTGAACATCACCCCACCAGTGCCTTCAGCTGTGTACTTCTCATGACGGGACATGATTCATCCTCCAGATTCCTGCAGCAGATTTTCCTCTAGGAAATTTACCCCCTTGCTGTGGCTTTGTGCACACCATAAATGCTGCAGATCAGCAGAATGGCTGGCTGTGGAAGCAGAGGCAGTGACGGCAGCTTGGCACAGTGTCCAGATGCCTCACACAAGCCTCAGCCCTACAAGTTAATTATTGGCCCTCACATAGCATGTTGCATCTGAGGTGACACTTCATAAATGTCACCTCATTTATCTTCCCAAAGCCTCTCAGAAGCAGGGAATCCCATAATATCTACCCAGGAAGAATTGGTGGTTCTTAAGTGGTCATCCCCCTAGGTGGTTCCTAGGCAGCAAGGAGGGAGGCTTGTTGAGAGGTTTCATGTTTTCCCTTATTCTGTAACCAGCTGTTCAGGGCTGGGTCCATGTTTACTACCGCTATGATCCATTCCACATTGAGTGTTCCCTGTACAGAGCACTGGGCCAAATGACCTCAAAGTCACTGGCTATGTCATTGGGGAGCCCCCCTGAGCTGGATAGCACAGAGAAAGGATACCCAACTGATGACAGAGAAGGCTTCCTGGGGGAGGTGTGACCTGGAGTAACTTAGCATGAGGAGGAGGCAGCCAGGGGAGAAAGTAGAGGAGAGGAGGCTGAAGAAGGAGACTGAACCAGGGGAGTTTGGGGCAAGGCTGGGAGCTAGAGAGGAGAGAGGTGAGGCTACAGTAGGAATCACAGGACAAGTCACAGAGGCCCCTCTTCACGTGTTGTCTGGGGAGAGTCAACGATTCTCAAGTTGATGGAGATCTAGTATTAAGATTTAGGTAGCAAAACTTCCACCTATTCCTTCAGTGACTCTGCTCCATCTCTACCTCCCTAAAACACATAGACACTCTTTTCCCTAGTTCAGCTACTTAAAAGGAAGGCCTGACATTTTGTCATTTGTCCTCCAATTGCTTCTATTGTGATACATACATACATATAGCAAAAAATTTAATGACTTAAACATTTTTTAAGTGTACAGTCCAATAGTGGCAAATATGTTCACAATGCTGGGCAGCCATCACCACCATCCATCTCCCTAACTCTTTTCATCTTGCAAAACTGGATCTCTGTACCCATGCAACACCAACTCCCCATTCCCCCCACTCCCAGTCCTGGATAGCCACCATTATTCTCTGGCTCTGTGATTTTGCTACTCCACCTATTTGTAATTTATTGATCTATGTGTGAGCAAATGAATAAATGAATTCTTTCTCTTTGGACTGTCTTAATGTAAATAGCCACATGGCAGATCACTACGCAGATGTTTTAACATTTTTCAGAAGCAGGGCAGGAAAGGCCCTTTAATCACAGTAGAACAGAAAAGAAGTCTCCCCTGTCCTGAGGGAGGGCTTGGTGTGTGAGGCTTCCTCCCTTGACACTGGGCTTTCCTGAGCAAGGTGGGAATCAACAGCCATGCTTCAGCATCCCAGCTTTGCAACACCTCATGAATCACAGACAACTTGTCTTCTTCGATAGAGTAGAATGCTTTTAACTGAAACAAGTATGAAACAAAAAGAAGGTGGGTTTGGAGGACAGTGTTCCAAGAGGGAGCAACGAGGAGGTCCAGATTGTTGGAACTGCACATTGTGTATGCTTATGATTGAGATGCAGGGCTATGGGGACCTGAGGCAATGTCCAGTAAAGAGCAAAGGTGTACAGAGTGCAGGGCATGGAAGGCAAAAGGCCCCCTGCAATTGACAGCAATTTCCCTGCCTCCACCTTCCCAGGCAAAGGCTCATAGCCTAAGCCAGCTTCCCCAATCCTTCTGAAGAGACCTCCAGCCCTTGCACAATGATTTTCTGGATATTTCAGAAATTATTCAGATTATTTGGACCTGCCTAGAGTATGCTCTCAGATATTTGTCTTCTATTATAGATTTTCAGAGGGCACTGGAGCCAGAATGAAAGATATCCTGAGGAGCTGGGGGTGGGGGGTAGGGGTGGGTAGGACCGTACTTTTTTAATGTCAGGGAAGTTGGAAATAAATGAGTATACAAGTTATTTCTAAGATTCCTTTCAACCCCACTCACCAAAGCAATGGATTCTTTTCCAGTTCTTTCAAATCACTGAGCACTCACACATAGACCCAGAAGGCCCCCACAACCCAAAGAAAGCTGGAGTTTTTCTTGTCAGCATCCCGTATTTTGAATATGAATACTGCCCATCAAATGGTTTTATATCTAATGCCCTGCCTTACTTCTGCCAGAAATAAAATCTAAAGAGGTGGCTTCTATTTGAAAATTTTTAGAGAGTCAACTAAGACTATCCAAATAGAAAATAAACAATGGCCCTGGCAACCCCAGGCTTTTTATATCAAAAAGTCAGGCATTTTATTCTTTAGGGGATTTCCAGCTGTTTTCATTTTGACAAGGGGCTCTGTGTTTTGGGGTTGTTTGATGATGGTAAGGGGTCTTGTCTCAGGTCTAGTCAGATGAGGCTCTCACTAGTAGGGAATGCCAGCCCCTCTCCGAACCTCACTCTTCCAATCTGCTCCCACCTATAATCCCACCTTTACAGCATTAGCCTGAAGTTACAGGCTTTGATCTTATGGCTGTAGAATTTGAAGGGCCCTCAAAAGGGGGAAAGGTACAGCTTAAAGAGTTGGAGGTGCCAGAGAAAGACTCTTTCAACTCCATAATTTACCCCAGGGTCAGCCCTGTTAGGGTCATAGAATAAAAAACGTTCGGCTCTAAAGGATCTTGGGGCAAGGTAGTTAACCCCCCATCTTACATAAAGGGAAACTGAGCCCCAGAGTGGAGAGGCCCAAGGACACTCAGCTGGTCAGCTGCACTGGGTCTGAAGCCGAATTTCCTGATGTCCAGACAGAAGGCTGCCCTTCAGAAACAATAGGCACGACTCACTGCAATATTTAGGGGCCAAATTACTTTGAAATATGAAAACTGAAATGCCTAGAAAATTAGAGAAAAATTTCAAAATGGCTTTCTGACTCTGGGTAAACAGTAACCACATTTTTTTTGCCTGTTGGAGGCCTGGTTTTTAATCACTCCACAAGCAGTTTTCATTTCTGTAGTAAAATTGCTTGTGGTTCTATTTAATTTGTTTCTGCAGGAGCCAGCTTTGGTGAAGATCTCCGAGGAGCTGGCGGGCATTTTAGCACAGCACGCACAGCCAGTCAATGAGAAACGGTTCCCGACGTGGAGGAAATTCCTCCAAACATTTCTCAGTCAAGGTAAATAAGACTGTAAAGTTTCTACTGAGGATTGGTCTACACAACCTTGAATTCCAGTTTTGGGTCAACCTTGTGCCGATTTAAATACCTTGTGTCTGTTGTGTTGGTTTACAAAAGTGCTCCTACAAGCAGACTTTTCTTCCTCTTTAAAACTTTGCCTAAATATTTATCTTGCTCTCAGCCTCTTACATAAATAGGAACTGAGCACACCAAGCCTGGCAGAGATAGCTCAAGATTCAGCCCTGTGATTGCACCTCAGCCTTCCCCTGATGGGTGGGCTTTGGCATCGGATGACCTGGTTATGGAACTCATCCTTGACCTTGAACAAGGCTCTAAAACTCTCTTTACCTACTTTACAGGGTTGCTGGAAGGATTCAATGCAATACAGATGTGAACATTTCTACCACACAGCCTCAAAATAAGTCTTTAGTACATGTTAGTTTCCCCTTCCCTTTTGTGAGATAGCAGAAATGGTGTCACCTCCAGTTCTGAGGGCAGAATTTCTTTTTTTATATAATCATAAGAATTATTTTTATTATAAAAGGATGTGTTCCATAGTATAGGAGTAAATAGTGGAACAGAAGAATGTCCAGAAATAGAGCCATGTTTACATGAGAATTTTTTTCCTTTCTTTTTCTTTAAATTCAATTAACTAACATATAATGTCTTATTGGTTTCAGAGGTAGAGGTCAGTGCTTCATCAGTCTTATATAACACCCAGTGTGCTCATTACATCATGTGCCCTCATTAATGTCCATCACTCAATAGCAACCCTCAGCAACCATTTGTTTCCTATGATTAAGAGTCTCTTATGATTTGTCTCCCTCTCTGATTTCACCTTGTTTTATTTTTTTCCTCTTCCCCTATGACCCTCTGTTTTGTTTCTTAAATTCCACATATGAGTGAGATCATATATAATCATCTTTCTCTGATTCACTTATTTCGCTTAGCATAATACCCTCTAGTTTCATCCAGGTTGTTGCAAATGGCAATGGCAAGATCGTATTCTTTTTGATGGCTGAGAGGTATATATATATATATATATATATATATATATATATATATATATATCATCCACATCTTCTTTATCCACTCATCTGGGCCCTTTCCATAGTTTGGCTATTATGGACATTGCTGCTATAAACATTGGGGTGCCGGTGCTCCTTCAGATCAGTATATTTGTATCATTGGGGTAAATCCCTAGTAAGTGCAATTGCTGGTCTTAGGGTAGCTGTATTTTCAACTTTTTGAGGAGTGGCTGCACCAGCTCTGAAGACAGAATTTCTAAGTAAGGATCCTTCACTGTCCTTTCATCCTCCTAATTCACCCTTATTCTCCAAGGATGCAAGGAGGTCTGTGGATAAGGGGATGAATGGAGTGAATGATGCTTGTCCCAAGTTGCAGAAGTCCCTGTGGGAGTGCCACATGGCTATGCAAGGCCCTTCACTCTTAGGAGGTTATGACATCGGGCAGATATTGTTACTGGCCTACCCACATAAATGACACAAGACCGCTAGTATAACAGTCCACAGAAGATATCTTTACTCTCTATTCTCCACTGTCAGGTGATAATAAAAGTTATTATATTAACATATAATAATATCATACTTATGTGACATCAGGTAAGAGCAATAGCAACCACATAACACTGGTAGCAGCACAGTAGAGATAGCATAATGAGCACCATAGAGTGTGTATTATGTGCCAGACACTATTCTAGGCATATGTCCGTTCATTTATTTGATCCCCCTAGCAATCCTTTCAGGTGGGTACCATTATCACCCTTATTTTACAGAATGGGAAACGGAGGTACAAAAGTAACTTGCCCCAAATCACCCCATGAACACATAGCAGAGCCATGTGTTGTTCCAGGAGTCTTGGTAGGATCCAGCAGGTATATTTATCAAGGAACACATCCTGGCTCCATGTATGAGAGAGCAACAGAAAGGACAGATGTGGCTTGTTGGAATGCACCGGGTGGGCAATGTGGAGTGGGAGGGAACACCCTGTTAATGGATTATTCAAGCTAGGGATTGGATGGTCAGCCATCTAACAAACATGATATAAAGCGGTTCTTCACTGGTGCAGGGAGAAAGGGAGATGATGCATGATCACCCACGCATTCTCAAATCTAAACTTCTGTGATTCTACAAATTTTCACATGCACCCACTGATAGAAAAGTAAAACCAAAAGAGTCAACCTCATATGCATAAATGGAAGAAAATAAGATACCTACAATAAAAATGGTCAAGAATAAGGGATTATTTTTAAGTTAGGAGGGGAAGACCATGAAGATCTCCAGGTGCATCCAGTACAGGACTTAGGAGTTTCTGAATCTTCCAGACTGTCCTTTGCAAACTGTCCTCTCATCTAGTTATTGTCATGGGAGCTTTGTAGCTTGGAAAGGAGTTTCCCAGCCAGTTTCTCACCTGAGCTGTGTAACCACAAGGTTTGGCTGTGCCATGACCTCCTATTCATCTCTACCCATTTTCCCTTTCTTCCAGCCATGTTGTAAATACAGTAACTATTTATGGTAAGCAGAATAAGCTTTATTAAGCCAATTTTTTAGATGGGGAAATTGGCTCAAAGCTAGGCAGTCACTAGGGTAAAACTACACAACCAATATTTGGTAAATGGGAACACAGTGAGACCCTATAATTTTAACACATCTCAAAAATCCCATTCTAGGAAGTCATGTGTTTCCAAACCTCTGCCTGGCTCTGAGCCCAGTGTATACAGCAGGCCCTGCATAAATGTTCACTGACCAAGCCAGGCTGTCACCCCAGGTTTCCTGATTCTTAGGCCACATCACTCACCACCTTCCACTCTTGCCTGTTTCATTTCCCTTCTGATCTTTCAAGTGCTCTTATGGCCACAAAATGTGCTACAGATTCAGTTTCTACATTGTCACAGGACTATTATCAGAGGCAATATATTTTTTAAAAAGAGAAATTAATTGCTTTGAAAGGGAAAAAGCTAACAGTGAAAAAGCCATGGTCATAATGCTGAGAAGACAGTACAAATAAGCTACTTTGAAGTAAAAAGAAAAAAAAAAAACCTCAAGTAATCTTCTAAGTATAAAGAATAATGTGTTTCCATTGAGGCACTATCTTTCAAAATATAGGTGACAGATAAAGCCACAAATTTAATTCACTCAGGGAGATGTAGAGAGTATTTGTGTTTGTTTTGTGGATTTTGTTGTTTTGTTGCATTTACCTTGCTAATTCCCCAACAACTTGTATTTAGGTACAGCAGACACTAGTAGGCCCCATTTAAAGAAAAGCACATATCATACTAACTAAACAGATAAATAAGTTTTCCTTCCAAAACTCAGTTTTCCTTAGGGACAGCTCCAAACAAACTTATACACATTTAAGTAAAGTGCCTTTTGCATAAAGTAACAGATGGCTGCCTCTGAGAAGTGCTAAAATCTCAGGATCTAACCATATATGCTGTTCAAAGCCTATGGGCAGAGGTCACCTCCTAGCAAATTTATAAAATATGCACCAAGTTTATCTTAATACTCTTGGGCTCCAGAGGCTATTCTGTCTAGGGAATGCTTCATTGTTTTTCTTTTAAGTTATTGTATCTTATTCTTTATAAATAATACTAAAAAATTGTATATAATAGGTAGATATACAGTAAGATTTATGTTAGTCCTCACAGAAAAAAAAATCGGAGCCATGTAAGTTTTGTGGATGTCACTAAGCTAACTCACAAAATTAGCCAGGGCTCCTATTGTTGCCATGGCTAAACATCAGGTTCACCTCTGTGATTTCTGTTATTCAGAACAAAAGGTAAAGTATGATAAATTATAAAGCTCTCGTTATCAGGAAGGATCCTGCCTCAAGAATGACAGCATCTCCTGCGCTCTACATTTTTAAAAAAAAATACTTGACAACTGCTGCGTAGGAGTCCTTTGATATAATAGTGTGTGTTCTCTTCTTCCTGATAAAAGTCCTAACTTGTTGAAACTTCAAAAAGCAATGAAGTTGAACAGAAAGAGCACCTGTCATCAAGGTATAAATACGGGCTCTGGGCAGTTAATTCCCCCTGAGGGATTTGCCCATAGTCCTTAGGTCCATTGTTTATGTTATCAATAGGCATAGACTTGATGATCTTTGGTGTCTTTATGGTGAATGAAAACTGGCATTCATTGAGTCCTAGTATATGCCAAGTACTGGGATAAATACTATAGATACAGTATCTCTAAGATTAACAACAATCTGGTGAGGTAGGTTTTATTATGCCCATTTTATAGATTATGAAAAAGGAAGTTTGGAGCATTGAAAGTACTTGCCCCAAAGTCTCACAAGACATGGCAGATGCAGGATCTGAGCCCAAGTCCATCTGCCAAAGCCTGGGCTTTTTCCTCCTGTGCTAAGTGGACACGATCCACATGAACATGCCTTTTCACCTATTCCATGCTTTCCCCCCACCCCAGGAGGCACAATGGAAGCATACCCACCTGTAGAAAGTGTCACCAACCTGACGGTGGATATGCTGATAGAACCCAATGGAGAAATCAGAGTGCTGTCAACGGGGGACCAGCTTCATGCAGAAGGCCCCTTCATCTCTTCTGGTACCACCGTGCCTCAGACTTCGGTGGATCCCCAAGTTCTCACCTCTTTGTGCCTCAAAATCGGAAATGCTTGTAAAATGAGAAATGTGGTTGGTTACTTTTCTGTAGACCTGGTGACATTCATTGATCCAAGCACCATGGGACAGCAGGTAAGTTGATGCCATGTGAAATACTAAAATATGTAAAAACTCCATATTGCCTGCTCCTGCACAACAGGGATTATCAGGGAGTCACTCAGATTCAGGGCTCCTCAGATGAGCTGACTGTAAATTCAGCATGTATGGGGTCTGTGCCCAGGGTCTTCTGGTTCGGGTACTGCTACAGCTTCAATGACCGCAGCTCATCCCGCGTAGCTCTGTCAATGGGGCCTCAGTTCTGCCCATTAGTGTTCTGCCTTTGTCTTATCATGAGCCTATTTTATGCCATCCAGGGATTGAACTTGTCTAAATCTTGTGCTTAAATCACTAGAAAGGAGTTAAGAGAGTGTTTGCTTCCATTCCTTAACAGTAGTTCACCAACAGCTTAGGTTGTCAACTTTTTTTCTAAAAAACATATTGGGACATATTAAAGGCCTAGATAACAATATAATGAACATCATGTGCCCTCACTCAGCTTCAGAAATAAAGCAATGTCGATACCACCTCCAATCGTGCACACTCCTTGCCAAGCCTCCTAACGTGGCCCTTCTTCCTCCTAGAAGCAACTTCCATCTTACATTTGGGGATCTGATTTCCTTTCCATATCTTCACGCTTGGACAGCGCATGGATGAACCCATAAATGATCACTTCATTTTGCATGTTTTAAAACTTTTTATAGACCATAACATACCATATATTATCATCATTGTACAACATGCTTTTATTTATTCAATACTTCCTCTGGAAGTTCCTCACATGCACACATGTGGCTCTGACTTAGAATGGTCTAGATAACTTTAGCCTTTTTTGCTTCGCTTCTCACCATCCCCGCCAAAATTACAATGTTTGGATTCAGTACTGCTTCACAGGACTCAGTTTTAAAGACATTCAGTTCCACCTCTGTAAGTGCTGGGTGACCAGACCTCTGTCTACAGGGTGAAATGGCCTCCGCCCTGGCTCTCCTGATACCCTCTGGCCATCCAACGTTGTAAATATACTCTAGTCATTTTATATTCATTATTCTCAGTTTTATGATTCTCCATTTCAGTCAGATGATGGTTTCAAAGTGAGAGTTTATGTTTTGGGCAGCTTTCAGTTTGCTCAATTATCATTTTCCATTTGCCTTCCTGGGACCTCCATGGGTGTGGCATTCCTTTCTCAGGCCCGCACATTGAGAGAGAAAGGACAAACTGAAGGGCATCCAGAAATCTACCTGGGGTGGAGGGAAGACAGACACAATGCTCTCTGGTGAAAGAGCTGGGTGCCAGGAAGCCGGAGAGGCTTCCCTCTCCAAACATTTATGAGAGAAAGGAGGATTAAATCTGTGATCCCTAGGGCAGTAGGAGGTTGGAACTATGGGGACTTGTGGTTTCTATTTATTCAAGTTTGGTATGGGGAAAATTGCATGGCAGTGAGAGGGATCCTCAAACATAGAGCTGGTCCTGTTTCTGGGCTTACTACCCTCTGGGCTTCAGGGATTAAGGAACCACACTTACCTTGGCTAGTCCCATGTGCCCTGCTGGCCTTTTCTCACCTAACTCCTCCCCTCTTTTTCTCTCTTCCAACCTCACTGGCCTTTCTCAGTCCCCCTTACTCATCATGCTACCTCCTGCCACAGGGCCTTTACATGTGCTGCCCCTCTCTGCCGAAAATGCTCTCGCCTCTTCTTTTTCACCTAGTTAACCCCCTTCCTATCCATTATATTTCAGCTTGAACCACACTTTCTTAGGGAAGCCATTCCTGACCTCTCTGACAAAGTTTAGTTTCCCTGTTTTGAGTTCTTATACCACCAAGTACCTCTCCTTCCCATAATGTTAACTTAGTTACAATTTTAAACTTATTTATATGATCATCTGATTACAGCTACCTCCCTCTATATACTGTAAGCTCCCCGAGGAGATGTACGATGTCTCCTTTTGCTCCCCACTCAATTATCAGCACTATTCTGGCCCAAAGTAGGTATTAGTAAGTATGTGTTGAAAGAAAGAAGGAACAAACGAGCAAATTAAAGGAGGTATTCTAGCAAATACTAGATGTAGTGCCAAGACTTTTAGAGAATGAATTCAAGAATCAGTTAATGGATGAGATAAATATTAACCCATGATTCTGGGATGTTATCATATTATGACCTCTCCTTGTCCTTTCCTGTTAATACTTGAGTATATGGTCATTTGTGTTACAATTTTCAATTGGACAATATTGAAGGAAGCGCTCAGCATTTTTACATTGGCCAGGAAAGTAGAGTAGCTCTGTGTGTGTGTGTGTGTGTGTGTGTGTGTATAGTAAAATATAAAATATACACAAATATATTCAAATGAGATATAATTATATATAACAAAAGTATAAATAAATATATTAAACTCCTATTTATAATAAGTGTAATATATATAATGAAAATTTCTTTTTGCAAAATCGCTGGCATACTCCAGCCATTTTGTGAGTTATATCACTTCGAAAAACACTTTTTTTTTTAAGCTTTTTCTTTTTAAGACTTTTTTTATTTATTATGAGAGACACAGAGAGAGAGAGAGCAGAGACAGGAGGCAGAGAGAGAAGCAGGCTCCATGCAGGGAGCCTGATGTGGGACCTGATCCCGGGACTCCAGGATCACCCCCTGGACTGAAAGCAGATGCTCAACTGCTGAGGCATCCCTCGAAAAACACTTAAATTTCTTTTCTAGTTGGCATGCACTGTGGTAAAAATGAAGACACTGGCATATTATCATCTCATTTTTGCCAGTCTAATAGGGGGGAAATGTTATCTTGTTTTCCTCAGTATTTCTTTGATTTTTAGTGATGATGCATCTCCTCATGTTTGTTGGGTCTTTATGTATTTTGTCTTACTTGACTTATCATATCTTTTATCCCACTTAAATTGGACTATAACACAAAATGTTGATTTGTGGAAGCTCTTTGTACATAAGCAACTCTTATCCTTTGGTTGTTATACAAGTTACAAATATGTTCTTCTAGATTATCATTTGTGGCTTTTCTTTCTTTTTTCCAGCCATGTTTCTCCACTGTAAAAATCATTATTTTCTTCATTTGTCATTGATTAATAATATTTTATAGAAAGGTGTCCCAAAAGTACACCAATATGTTATACCTCATCAGATTTCCACCCATGAAACTCAGCAACCACTGCCAACTTTCTCCTGAGTCCACCATTACTCTGATAGTAGTAACTTTCTATTTCTATTATGCTTTCTACATTTAGAAGTTGGCAATCAACTGCAGGCAAGAGTTTTTCCTTCTCCATCTTTCATTTATGTATTTATGCATATATGTATTTATACCAGTTTGAATGTGTGAGTTTCTATTTTCTTCAGTTGTATTTTGATGCTCAAACTGTCCCAGATTTGACTACTGGGAGAACTTCAGGGTGACTATTGTGTCCTTTTGACATGTCTCCATTATTCTTTGAGCACTGTCTTACAATCACAAAGATATTCCAGGTTCACCTTCCATGGACCTAGGATCAACCCAAGAGCCTTGGTTCCTTTTAGTGGAACATGGTATTAAGATCTGGGCTCTTAGTACTGTCATTGCTACTGGAGTGTCAGTGCTACTGTTCATTGCTGTCCATGAACAGCTCAGAAGTATATGCATTATATATGTACCATACACATACACACAAACGAATGCATCTATAAATATCCCTGTATCTATTAGTGTGTATATTTTAAAACTATCCATTACTGCCAATATCTCTAATGTCAATATGACACTTCAGGATTCTTCCTAGACTTTCCCTTTCCACACTTAAAAATAAGTACTTTCTCCAACTATAAGGAACCTGAGTTTCTTTATCCTTAATATATTTGCTTCTTTGCTCAATGTATTTGTTTGTTCAATGTACCAACCCTCCCAACTAATCCTGCTGTCTTCTTCACTTGCCATAGCTGTGTCCCACCCCTACACCTCCTGTATTTGGATACAGAACCCTGTCATTTGTGTTTTATTTGTAATGCTCTTTGTCATACTAAAGTTTCAAATAGTTGAAGCTAGTTCTTTTCCTAAATTACTACATTACTTTAAACTTAACACTTTCTCTTATCCTCAGTTTTCTCAGCTATGAAGTAAGTATATTAGCTTATTTGACTTCTGAGAAAACTTCCCATTCAAATATTATGTATTTCAATAATATTTTCATGGTACTTACTTTTGTATCATGTACTTTTAAAAAATATCACAAGGAGATGATCACAAGGTTTAAGTATTCATATGTCCATCAGAACATTAAGGACAACAAAAATTTTCAAATAGCCTAAATTCCAATAAAAGAGAATTTGTTAAGCCAACTATGATAGAGCAATAGAATTGAATTCTATGAAAACAGCAAAACTCAAGCTTTTGAATAATATTTAATGGAAGCTATTGATAGAATAGATGAAAGTGGGGGAGCACCTGGATGGTGTCATTGGTTAGGCTTTTGACTTTTGGTTTCAGCTCAGGTCATGATCTCAGGAGTGAGATCAGGCCCAGGTCAGGCTCTGCACTCAGTGCAGAGTCACTTGAGATTCTCTCTCCCTCTTCCTTTGCCCCTCCTGTTTGTGTTCTCTCTCAAATAAATAAATAAATATTTTTTAAAAATAATAGTTGGAAGGGTAAAATGTAGATTAGAAAACAATATATGCAACATGATAACCATTTTATAAAAGGAAAAAAATACATATATAAAGAGCAAGAAGAACCTAAAGAAATACGCTAAGAAGTTACAAGTCATTACTTCTGGATTGGAGGATTGAGGATGTAGTAGGCAGAGTAGTAGCCCCCAAAGATGTCCATGTCCTAAGTCCTGAAGTTTGTGAATGTTACCATATGCGGTAACATGACTATGTGATTACCTAAGGATCTTGAGAAGGGAAGATCAGCCTGGATTATACAAGTGGCTCATGTAATCACAAGTTGTATGAGGAAGAGACAGTGAGCCAGGGAATGCAAAGAGCCTCTAGAAGATGGACAAGGCAAGGAAAGAAATGCTCCTCTAGGACCTCCAGGAGGAACAAAGC